TTTGTTTAATTCTGGGTTCTTCACGGTGGCGATGAGATGCTTCCCTCGAATGTTCGCGTCGAGTTTGCTTCTCGTTGACGATCCGACGTCTTGCTTGCGTTCTGGCATGAATTCTGTGTCCAAACGCAATGCCTAAAAGCTTGAACGCAGCATCTGGAAGCTCGGACGCAGCGTTTGGAAGCTCATTTGCAGCGATTTAAGAGCTGCGTTTGGCAGCGGATCTGAGCTGCGTTTACAGCAATTTGGAAGTTGTGTTTGTACGATTTAAGAGCTGCGTTTGGCAGCGGATCTGAGCTGCGTTTACAGCAATTTGGAAGTTGTGTTTGTACGATTTAAGAGCTGCGTTTGGCAGCGGATCTGAGCTGCGTTTACAGCAATTTGGAAGTTGTGTTTGTACGATTTAAGAGCTGCGTTTGGCAGCGGATCTGAGCTGCGTTTGGAGCTGGATGTGACCTGCGTTTACAGCGATTTGGAAGATGCGTTGGCGGCCGAATCTGAGCTGTGTTTGCAACTTTTGGAGCTGCGTTTGCAACTTTTGGAGCTACATTTGAGCTGCGTTCGTGGCTATGAACACGGCGCATCTTGATGCTGGTACGCGGGGAGGACTTCCACGTCTTGATTTAAAGAGACCGTCAATTTGTAGTCTTTTTCTATCGAAGTTTTGCAAAGATCGTCATTTTGTAATCTTTACTTTAGCTCTTTGATATGCGAGAGTCGTCAGATTGTAACTCTCGATGTTGATTGTGAAGGCTGTTGATTAGAGCTTTCATCAGTTGTTGTGAAGGTCGTCAGATTGTAACCTTCATCGATCCACGTGAAAGTCTTCAATTTGTAGCCTTCTGAAAGTCGTCAGATTGTAACTTCCATCATCGGTGTTTGATGGGGATCAGCTATCTATTGTGATTTTTAGACAGCCTACACATAGTATACTCTGAAGCAGGATATCAAGTTGAGGGTTGTTGTTCTCTCTCCGACCGTCTCAACTGAGGTACTTGTGGCTGATCCATATATGGTGGCTCTAGATGTTCATGCTCCCCCTGATCAAAACCTGGGGAACCTGCAATTTCTTCTTCTTCCTGCACATCTTAAAAATCATTATTTTCTAACATGAGAGAAGGAAAAATAACTGGTGTAGAGATTGGATCTGGGATGATATGAGTGTTTTGTAGCTCCTCTTCTTTTTCAAAACTAGCAAGTGTTTTATCTTCACAAAAACAACATCTCTGCTCCTCACAATTTTCTTATTTTTAGGATCCTACAACCTATACTCAAATTCATCATTTCCATATCCTAGGAAGATGCATGGAATAGCTTTATTATCAGGCTTTGTTCTTTACTCCTTAGGTACATGTACAATTGCCTTGCACCCGAACACCAGCAAGTGAGAATAGGAAATATCCTTTCCACTCTAAACTCTTTTAGAAATATATCCATCCAAGAGAACTGAGGGGCACATGTTTATCAAGTAGCAGGATGTTCGCACTGACTTCTCCCCAAAATATTTTTGGTAATTTAGCTAAGGATAACATACTCCTTATCCTTTCCACAATTATATGGTTCATCTTTTCTGCAATCCCATTGTGTTGCGATGTGTGTGGAACAGTCTTTTGGCGTCTAATGCCATAAAAAATAATAGTCTTCAAACATCCTTAAAGTATACTCACCACCATTATCCGTATGAATACACTTCAAGAGCTTTCTGGTTTCTCTTTCAACTTTGGTGTGGAAGTCTTTGAAAACTTCAAAGACTTGATCTTTAGTTTTTATGGCATGCACCCACAACTTTCTAGATGCATCATCTATGAAGGTCACAAAGTATGAGGCACCACTAAAAGTTTTTTTATTTATGGGTCCGCATACATCCGAATAGACTAAGTCCAATATGTTAGTTTCCTTTTTGTTATATTTTTTAAACAAAATCTACCCGGTGTTGTTTCCCAATCAAGCAGTGATCACAGTGGGATAGTGTTGTACCTTACATGGCTGAAAATAGTTGTCGCTTTGCGAGAGTTTGTAGCCCTTTCTCGCTCATGTGGCCAAACCTCTTGTGCCACAAATCCATAGAGGTACCTTCCACTGTTCCAAGTTCATCATTCTCTAAGTGAAACTGAGTCTTATAGAGAGTGCAACACTTCTTTCCTCTCGCTAATACAAGTGATCCTTTGGTAAGCTTCTAACATCCTTTATCAAAGCTGCTCGTGTATCCTTCTTCATCAAGCTTGCCGGTGGTGAGAAGATTAATGAGACGAAGATTAGGCACAAATCTAACATCTTTTAGAACCATCTTTGTTCTAAGGTTAGTAGTAACACAAATATTTTCAATGCCAAGAATTTGAGAAGAGTTTTTGTTACCCATTTTTACCATTCCAAGATTACCTTCACGAAGCGAAGTGAAGTAGTCCTTCCTGGGAGTAGCATGGTAGGAGGCACCAGAATCAACCACCCATTCCGAGTCACCAGATATTTGCACAGTCTTCTTCATATGCCGAGAAAAGCATAATTTTATTGTCACTGACAACAACTGCACTTTCATTCATTTCTTTTTTTCATTGGTCTTTCCTTCTTTTTGTTCTCGCTTGAGCTTGCAGCATTCCCGTTTTATGTGTCCATTCTTCCCGCAGTGATAACAACTAATGTCCTTTCTAGCCTTTGATTTTCCTCTTGACTTGTCTCGATTTTGAGGCTATCGATATTTGCTCCTCCCCCTATTCTCGATAACAAGAGCATGAGAATGGGAGGATCCATATGACTTTCTTTGTATTTCTTCATTCAAGAAGCTGCTTGTAACTTGGTTCATGGATACAACTCCATCAGGTGCAGAGTTGCTAAGAGACATCACCAGTATCTCCTAACTATCCAGTAACGAGCTAAGCAAAAGAAGGGCTTGAAGCTCATCTTCCAACATCATCTTCATGGCTGTAAGTTGATTTAAAAAACTTTGAATTTCATTCAAATGTTCAGATATAGAATCACCTTCCTTGAACTTGAGATTGACAAGCTTCTGCTTTGAATTTCATTCAAATGTTCAGATATAGAATCACCTTCCTTGAACTTGAGATTGACAAGCTTCTGAATCAAGAAAGCTTTGTTGCCGGCCAGATATAGAATCACCTTCCTTGAACTTGAGATTGACAAGCTTCTGAATCAAGAAAGCTTTGTTGCCGGCGGTCTTTCTTTTGTAGAGATCTTCAAGTTTTTTCCACAAGCTGTTCGCCGAAGTCTCATTTGACACATGGTGGAATACATTATCATCCACCCATTACCGAATGGTGTCGATGGTTTTCCGATCAAGCTTCTTCCAATCATCTGTCGTCATGGACTCTGGCTTGGAGGATTCACCTTCAACTGGCGTATAGAGGTCCTTACAATATAGAAGATCCATCATCTCTGCCTTCCATATTATCCAATTGCAGTCATTCAAACGGATCATTCGAACGTCGCTGACGGGAGTCTCCATCTCAACACAAGAAGATTAGCAACCTTGTTCTGATACCACTATTGGGAAATTAATAGTACAACAAGACATTTCTCGTATTTGTGATGAGATGAGAACAAAAAATAGAAGAGAAATGCAAAGAGAAATAGAGAGATTACACACACAAGATTTACCGAGGTTCAGCTCAAATTGAGCTTATGTCCTCACCCGCCCCTTCTTCACCTTTTCCACTATAATCAATGAAAACTTACAAAGGGTCTTCTCTCAAGTTGGTACAACTCAACTTGAGGATCACTTTCTCTCAAACTCATTTGAGGATTACAACTTTCTCTCAAACTCACTTGAGGATTACAGATTTATATGTGATTCTTCTTCTTGCTTCTTGTTGTCAACCTTCACCATCTCTCCTCTATTTATAGGGAAGGATATGCCTCTTGGGTACCCCACATTCATTGCATGGGGAAGTCCAAAGACTAGCCCTTCCTTTTTCCTAATGTATGGGGAAATATAATCTATCAATGTATGCATGTAGTCAACCATAAAATTTCTATGGAATAAATCCATATTAATTCATCATGGGGATGGACCACTGTTCCCATCAATATGTTAATGAAAGTAAATACTCTTTGATTGCATTGACACGATTCTTTTTTTTTTTTTGGTTATTTGCATTGGCACAATTCAATCTAGGGTTACTGGGAATAGACCCCTCAACCATAGCCAAATTGAACTATTACTCGTATAGTTCTATTGTTGCAGATAAACTCCTGAGTGAAAATTTAGGAGGCCTATTTTCAACAATAGATTTTCACTCAGGAGGTTTATCTGTAGCAATATTAACCCCTTCATGGGGTCTATCTACAACAATGGAACTTCAGGGATTGTAAATTTAATTTTAATTTGGCAATAGTTCCAGGGGGGTCTATCTACTATTAACACTTTAATCTTTTGCCAGTCAGAAGTTCTTCACCGAAACAGATCAGAGCTAATTCTCATAATAGCAAAGCATGACTCGTGTGAAGTTTTTGCCCCCTTGTAAAAACTACACAAACCAATAAACAAGAGATTAACTCCACGTCACATTTTGCTTAGAGAGCTGAGCATCTCTACATTATATTTAGCTTTCTGGATGGATATTATAGATCAATAACAGAGGACTAAAGAAGAGATGTACTTATTTCTTTGCATGTGTCAAGCTGCATGATAAGAGAATGAGCTGGAACCGTACTACGATCATTTGTCAGATACTTGATAAACAACAATGTGTAGTGACAAAAGCCATTGAGGACAATTATATCTGTCATCTAAAATAATCCCACAAACAGAATACATGCAATCTACATTCACTAGCGCCGTAACAAAATTTGCATCTCATCTAACAATGTCTGATCAAGATAAGAGTAAAACAGTAGAAAAGCAAATGAACTTTTTCTAACTGCTTCCAATGATCCAATCCCCAATGTTGACAACGGGCAGCAAACATGAACCTAGAGAAGAGGACATCACATTTACTTGGAATCTTTCTCAGATACTTATGATCATGTTCTCATCTATGAAACAGACGTTGGCTACAAATAATTTTCCAATAATTTTCGTTTTGCAACAGTTGGCCTCCACAAATAAGAGAGTGCCAAAATGTACATGAATATTGGAATACAAGTATCACCCTTTTGAGTTCACAAGCTAAATGATAAATAAATGTTATTCGACTACCAGAACAAGATTTTCCCTGATAAAAAGATACACTTTGTTTAACTTTTTCAAAGTAAAATCCCAGCTGAACACCAAAATTTTCTTACAAAAGAATTGAAGACCTGAAAGAATGAAGCATCTCATCTAACAGGCTGAGAATGGCTTTCTCTATCTACACGTCCCAAAGGGAGAAACTTTTAAACGTAAAAAACAATTTCAATGTCCTCCCCAAGGAGGAAATAGGGAAGGATGAGGAGCATCAAGATGTGCATATCCCTCCCACACTTTTTTGTGTGCCAGTTTTCCTCAATTTCCTCATTGAATTCCCCTTGCTATAACATTTTTCACTCAATCTGCTCACCAATAAGATCAAGACCCACCAACAAGAACGAGACCCCTTGGAAGAGCAAGAAGTAGAAATGAATTCCCTGAGCCGAGAGCAAACTCCTAGCCGATGCAGTTAAGAGAAGGAAAGCAAGTGCAAGCTCCTTCCGATAAATCCTATTGTGCTTCTTCTTCTTCTTCAACTCTTTTTGCTTCCGAGATTCCTCTTTTGAGATGGCATCAAGGTTGGGCAATGAATTTTCACGGTGAGGCTTGAGAGGTTCCTTCTCGATCAACGACAGGAGGTCGCCCTCAGAAGAACGACCAGATTTCTTGGTGACGACCCACTCATAAGCACTACCAAGCTGAAACAGGCCAGAGATCATTGCATTGAATTTGGTGACAGACATTGTGTTTTCAAAGAGGAGGTACGGGACAATGAATGGGAACGATCTCGGGGCAGGGAGAATATTGAGGAAGGACATTGTGGCTGGAATGTAGCATACGACCCAAGCAGGGAGCTCGGCTTCTGGGACAAACATTGTCATGGGAAGAATGATACAGAAAAGGGTGAAAGAGTAAAATGGTAAGATAAGCTTTCGGAGAAGGAAGAATAGGAATATCAAGTTGCACTTCTTCCAAATACCAATCTGCAGTAGAAGCAAATATGGTTTGGTTAATAACATCTTATAAAGTGCTGACCAGAGGGAGGTATATATAACTTAGGTGTTTCAATAAATACAAGGAAAGTAATAACTCTTAAGCTTCTGTAGTTGACATAAAAGGTTTATATATGTTCACAGAGGTTTGGTTAATCTTGACATAATTGAAGTTATTGCAATAGGCATAGGACGTATCCAAGTTGAAATACCACGGTACTTTCAAACAAGGGTCTTTGCAAGAAACAAAACAAGTTTAATATATTTTAGTTCAGGTAAACTGTATGGAGCCATGCTAGACAAGTAACCCGTAGTATTTCCTAAAAACAATAACTAGTTTGCTTAAGCTAGCCATAAGTATGTTGCTAAGTAATAAACTTGACAAAGAACTCATAGTGCCACCGAACTAGTTTAGTTACTAGTATTGCCTGAGTATCAACTTCTCACAAACAATTTTGAAGACTTGCATCCCCAAGGAAAGTAGATGGGTAATATATCTTTCAAATTGACAACTTTACATATACATAGCTGCCATGATTAAGTCAACAATATCCAGAAATTTGGAAAGTTACTTTTAATGGTAATTGCCCAAAAAAACTGGTATTGCTGATTAATCTCGGCATAGATTTGGAAATCTAAAGAAAACTAATATAGTAGCAATATATACAAAAAACAAATATTGGAATGTAAATAAATGTACCTTGGATTTTATAATATCAGGCAAGCAAAGTCTAAACAATTGCATCGGTCCTGAATGCCAGCGATGCTGCTGCTTCCTATAAGCTTCATAAGACTCCGGTAATTCACATTGGCACTGAATTATACACATTTTGATTCAGAAACAACTCATAGTGTAAATAATATATGCAATTTTCAAAATATGAAAACTTAGTATATACCTCAACATCGTTGAGGTAGATAAATTTCCATCCTTTGAGATGAGCTCGGACAGCAATATCCATGTCTTCCACCGTAGTCCTCTCGAGCCACCCTCCAGAATCTTCCAATGCCTTAATTCTCCAAACTCCGGCAGTCCCATTAAACCCAAAAAAGTTAAGGTACACACCATTAACCTGCTGCTCCACCTCAAAGTGAAAGCAAAGGTTAATGTTCTGGAGCCTGGTCAGCAAATTCTCATCTTTGTTCACAAAAGACCACCTAGCTTGAACTAGCCCCAGTTCCTCATTGTCCTAAAATCAACCAACAACAAACACATCAGACACAAAATTCATCAATGAAATCAAATTTTAATATACCAATTATAAGTAGAGGAACCTTGAAATGAGGAACAGTCTTCTTTAAGAAATCAGGTGTCGGTTGGAAATCAGCATCAAAGATAGCGACAAATTCATAATCTTTTACATAACTACAATTCATGGCCGACTTAAGATTCCCAGCTTTGTACCCATCTCTAATGACTCTATGTCTGTAAACAATTTGAACTCCAGTTTCCTTCCATTTCTGAACCTCATCTTTGATCAACATTTGTGTAGTTGGATCATCAGAATCATCCAAAACTTGAACCATCATGTTCTCTCTCGGCCAATCTAAATTACAAACAGCTGCAATTGACTGCTGATAAACCTGCTCAAAGTGTAAAATTGACAATAAACACCACAGATTTGCATAAATTGACAATTACCCATATCAAAAGATTGATTTTTTTGGAGGACTGAGTTATTACCTCTTTCTCATTGCACATAGGCATCTGAATCAACACCATTGGAAAATCTTTTCCCCCAGTTTCCAGATCTTGGTTCTCTTTCATAACAGGCTTAATCTTCTTAAATTTGATCCAGAAACAACCCAGACACAGAATTAACCTATCAGCACTCTGAACCATGAAGAGAATAACACAAGCATCTGCTAGAAATTGAAGAACCGGAGCTATGTAATCCACACGAAACCGAACCCAGCTGGAATAAACCGCATCAAAAGCATCTTGTACACCAAATGAAGAAGAGAACGCCATTAGCTTTTGGAAATCAGGAGTTCCAATATGCCACCCTTTGAAATAAGCAGCAATTTCGAACCCCAAAAGGATGATAGACAGCCAGAGAAAGATCTTAATGCAACCATAGAAGCGGCTTCTCAAGGCCGGGCTTTCTGATTGAGACGAGACCGGGTCGAGTTCGGAGTCCGTACGGCCGGAGCGGACTCGGCGGCCGGCGGACGGCTGCGGCGAGGCCGAAGGTGGCAGAGGCGAGAGAGGTCAAGCACCCGGCGGCACGATGAGCTTTCAGGAGCAAAACCCACGTGATTTGCTTCGCGTTTTTGCCCCGGCCGCCTTTTTTGACATGGAAATCTCCGGCGCTGACATCGTCGTCCTCGTCCGGAGAAGAGATCTCAACCATTGACCAGTTGGGATTCTCCATTTTCACGATCACCGGCGTCCCCTTGTGAGTATCCTTTGCCCACCAGTTGAAAGATGGCGCCATTTCGGGCGAACTTTTTTGCTCGATTTGATGTGTTTGGGAAAAAACAACTGGGTTTTGAGTTCTTTGGGAAGAAATTGAGGATTGAGGAAGCAATGCGGGAAGAGAAGCACAGGGGTATTTAGGGAAGAAGAGATAAAAACTTTTCTCTATCTTCTCCCCATCGTCGCTCAAAGCTTCGTTTTTCTCTTCTCTATAAGAAGAAGAAGGACGACGACAAAGAGCAACCAGCCCAGACGTATATAAGAACAGCTCAACACGTCTTCAATAATTCTTTACTTTTTTATTTCTCTCCTTCCTTATTTTCATCCTTTTTCCTTATGATAATAAATAACGGGGATTAATCCACTTAATCAGAGGGTTAACCCTCTAAAAAGCTCTATTAAGGAAAAAGAATGGGCTACAGCTGGAAATGTCGAAGGGGGGATGGAAGCTGGATTTAAAAATTACGGCTACTATTCAAATATAGTGGCATTTTGAGGTGGGAAATAAAATCTTTTATCATAGTTTGAATTTTGAACCTCTCCTTCTCCTCTCCTTCCTTCTATTGTAATCCAACACATTTTCTTCGTTTTCAGAAATCATGAAAAAAAAGTAAAATAAAAAAATAGAAAAAGAGAGAGACTAAAAAATATAGATTTTTTTAAAGGAAAAGAAAGAAAGAGAAAGGGGACGTGCGTACAAGTCCAGAGGATAATAGAGAAGGAAAGAGGTGATTATTTTAGGACCGTACGCGTATTATCGAATTTAGTGAGTTAATCAATGCTAGCCCGAGAAATTAGCAACAATTTAATCCTACCCAGATTCTCACCGGTTCAGATCCTCACCGTCCACGTCTCACTTTAAGATATGTGAGAGACGGGCTAAATGTGCTTTTAATTGTTAGTTGTTTTGGTAATTATAATCCCCGGGCGGTAACCCGCCTTTTTTTGTGGTGAATTGAAGACCGAGTTGCGCGTATTTAGCAAAGAAACGGACGGCTGCGATTGTCTCAGGGTTTTTCCTTATACTGTTCCTGTGGATTAATTTACTAAACGAATAATTCCAGGAATATCGGAGGGTGTTTCTGTAATTTGTCACCGGCGAATGCACATGCCGGCTGTTTGTCCTGTTGCGATCGCGATCCAGATCGCGATCGTCTCCTGTTCAATAAAATTTGAGGACATGTTCCGATAGGAAACGTGGACGGTGGATGTCACAGCTCGTATAGAATCATCATGCGTCTTCCCGCACATTAAACTGTCGGTGGCTCAAAAGATGAGCGGATTCGCGCTGGTTCGAGAATAGAGCCTGCAATGAGGATAAACCCTTGGACAAATTGACTGCATTACCCCCTTGTTTTACTGTAGTTATTTAGGATTATCAGTTTAAAAAAGTGAAATTAAAAGTGGGTCCCGGAATTTAAGGTAGCGTTGAGGAGCTTGAGAGCGAGGACAGTGTCGCCATTATCTTTACCTCTGTAGTTCACGGAAACACGCGCGAAGCACGTGACGAAGAATTCAATGCCCCGGATTCAAGTCTCAGCGGACAGGGGTTGCAGGACGGTGGCAGCGCCACAGTTGGGCCCCGCCCAAGAGAGCTCCAATGAGGATACATCAGTCATTTTGAAAATAAGCATAGGTTAATTTTGGTACCTTTGCAAAATTTACCGGCACGTGAATCCGTAGCTGACTTCGGCGGAGATGTGAAGGATTTTGACACGTGTAACCATTTGGCCCGGGATCACGCCACGATGTCTCCTGGTCGGCTGGCGGCCTGTCTTGCCTTGGGGACCTGCGTGATTTTCGGGCGCCACGTCACTACCCGGAAAATTGCCCTTTCAATTTTAGTATTTGGTATGGATTACAGTTTTTAGAATCAAAAAATGAGTTTTTTTGTATTTTGTGATTCAATATATAGTGTTTGTTTTTAAAAAAATTTAGAATATTAAATCCTAAAAATGTAAAAAGTGCCCAATTTTTAGAATTTATCAAATCTTTTCAATTGAGAGAATTTTGATAAATCGCATAAATGAATGTGCTTACCTCTCAATTGGAAAGGATTTGACAAATCCTAATTTTATTATTTTGTGGGGGTTAACATCACCAAGATAGCATATTCATCATATTATAAAATTTTGGCATTTAATAATGCTACAATTTGAGCTTAAAACAAACAAAATGTTACAAATTGTAGTATTCCAAATCCTAAAATATTAATGAAACAAACAACATTTTAGAAATCTTAATTCATAACAAAAAACACCTATGGATTTTAAATCCCATGGTGAAATTCATACCCAAAAATTATAGGATTTGAAACAAACACCCCTAAGGGTGTTTGTTTTAATTTTTTTTGCATATAGGGTGGTTTACAAATTCTAAGATTAAAAAATGGATTTTTTTTTTTAGTTTTGGGGGTATTTGTTTCACCAAAAATTTGATATTTGGTATGGATTACAAGTTTTGGGATCAAAAAGTGAGTTTTTTTGTATTTTGGGATTCCATGTATGGTGTTTGTTTTAAGAAAGGTTTTAGAATATTGAATCCCAAAAGTGCAAAAAAATATCCAACTTTTAGAATTTGTCAAATCCTCTCAATTGGAGAGGATTTTGACAAATCCCATAAATGGATGTGCTTACCTCTTAATTGGAGAGGATTTGACAAATCCAAATTTTTTTTTTGTGGGAGGTAACCTCACCAAAATAGCATATTCATCACATTACAAAATTTTAGCATTTGGTAATGCTACAATTTGAGCTTGAAACAAACAAAGTATTATAAATTGTAGTATTCCAAATCTCAAAATATTAATGAAAGAAATAATATTTTTGAAATCCCAACTCAAAATAAAATACCTATGGATTTCAAATCCCATGGTGAAATCTATATCCTAAAATTATAAGATTTAAAATTTATGGATTTCATAACTTTTTTTTGATTCAAAATAAATTTTGGGATATTGAATACCCAAATAATAAAAATTTAATATATTATAGCATTTGTGAAATCCCCTTTTTGAGAGATAATTTAGGCTAGATTTCAAATTCTAAAATTTGTAATGCTATAATTTGAGTTTAAAACAAACAAAATACAAATTATAAAATTACATATTCTAAAACATTGATGAAAAAAATAATATTTTAGAAATCCCAATCCATGTTAAAAAACCAATGGATTTCAAACCCCATGGTAAAATCCATGTTCTAAAATTATAGAATTTGAAACAAACACCCCCTAAAACAAGGAAAAAATGGATACCGTAACTAATTATGGTCAAAATAAGACAGAGATAAATTATTGGTCATACATATTTCATAACTCATATCGACAAGAACCTTTTAAATATAGTCTTCTGGTAATTAATTTTGCTAAATAAGTTAAATGATAATCAGTATGTTCTTAAAGAGAGAGAGTGTGTGTGTATATAGGGTTGGGTTACAGTATATCTAGGGTGTAACAAGCTTAGTTACACCCACCTGTAAAAGCACATGTTTGAGCATCGATATTAACGATCAACATTGTTCATTATGATCTATGCATCCAAAACTTCATGGAGATCAAAAATGTCACATAGATAAGATATTTCTAGTTTATACATCTAGCGGCCTAGAAATGAACGGTCTAAAGATATTTCTAGTTTATACATCTAGTGACCTAGAAATGAACGGTCTAAAGATATTTCTAGTTTATACATCTAGTGACCTAGAAAATGAATGGTTTATCCAAAAAACAATCCATTGTCCAACAAAGGACAGATGTATTGCATGTTATGCCCCAATCAAGTTGGCGGCCAGAGACTAACAGAGACGACAACTCAGTCAACTTGTCGAGTTGATATTCCCTCGTGTCAAATCGAAAGGTGGTACTTGTTACCCCCTTTGTCGAAGACGACTCGCTACGAGCCCACTCGACCAGATACTGGACGCCTCCCAAAAAACGACTCGAAAGACATTACTTCTCAGAGAAGTTAAAGGATAACTTCTACCTCGAGCCTCTCCCACTGGCAACATGTCTGCATCACATTTAATGCATGACAGGCGCATCATACCTCTAGCCCCGATAGCCTTCATGACTCATCGAACCACATAAGCACCATCATGCCACTAATCACTTCCTAGTTAATGTTGAGCTGATCGCTCACCTAGTCGTCAGCCGACACCTATAAAGTAGGTGTTGACTCATCTGTCAGTCTACACTTCGCTACCGCCCTCCTGTGCTCGATCGAAGTGACAAATCTACCCTTATACCCGAGGTATAAATAGAGGTAGTATTTTATCTTTATAGAGGTTCGTAAATCTGATCTTTAAGCAGACATATTGCACACAATTCTTACTTTTCCCCACTCAAGTTCATTAGCTAACTTGATCATTGGAGGAACCACGGGGGGAGCCAAACCCCGTCCTCTCATGAGTTTTTACTTATGCAGGTTCATCAACCCCACTCAAAGAACCAAACATAAAGTCGGAGAAGAAAGCGACCTCTCATCAATACTCAACAACATCATCCAACAACAGATATAACTGACTGTATGATCACTAGTACATCAACAGTTTGACACCCACCGTGGGCATCTTTCTTTTTAAAGAAAACATGTTGGGTTCTGAGCATGGGTCTGGTCTATTTTGCCCTGTAGGACCACATCAGAGCTACGTTACTCGAGCCCAGCTTGAGGAAACAGCTCAGAAGCTTTCTCAATTTCTCAAAGAGCAATTCACTACCTTTACTAGCGAACTTCTCAGTCGGCTTCCGCAACCACAACAAGCTACCTCAGCCATGCCTCCGCCATCTAGAGACATGTGGTTGGAGACTCATCCTCCTTTCGACGTCTAATAAGTGGTCTCACCTCGGACTCATGGTACTACCAAACAGTTGGGGGCCACATCGAACATGCAAGCCCGCGACCTCGTTGGTCGACTCACGCTGACAAGTCTCGATGATATTGCCACCATCGTCATGAGATCACTGACAAGAGTCCTGGCCCAATCCACCTCGGGGATCGCACTAAGGGAGTGGTCTCTAAGACCCTCCATCATCATGCCTCTCTAGTTCCCTCAACTACCATAGGGGCCTCTGTTTGGGGTGAAAGTTATTCTCGTTGACGAATTTATTACAACTTTGGGCGTTACAATAAATTCAAAAGAAATAGTCTTTTTATAAGACTTTTTACATAATGAAAATTTATTACAACTTTTTTTTAAACTACACACAATAGATGTTTATCGCTTATTGTTTGTATGTGATCTTTGTCGGTGTCGGGGTTTATCCT